CCCCAAAACCCCAAAACCCCAAAACCCCAAAAATTACAAACTTAATTGAAAATGGAATGCATTACAAAAGGGACAACTACCCCAGAATCCAGCAGGTTCATGGAATCCACCACTTATGATCCAGCCATTACCTCTAAACCAGCGAGATCTTGCAGGAAGAGAAACCTGAAGGGGGTTCTTGGTAAAGTATTTTGAGTAAAGGTAAAGAACTCCTTTGGAAATTCATGGAAATATGAATCACAAATAGTTTTCTCCAATTTTTTTATATTTCCTAGAAAATTTTCATTTTTGTGCATTTTGTCTGGAAGTTTGAAGGCGCAATTATTTCAAGCACATTTTTGGAGATTTTGAATCATTATAAAGCGGGGTTTTGTACATTGTCAGGTTTGTCAATAGTATAAAATGAGGCTTAAAAGGTATCATAATTTGTTTTGGAACCAGGTTTGATTAGTAGAATAATATCAAAATTTAGGAGAAAAGAGTTTATTATTACCTTAAATTTGGGATGATTTATAAATTTATAGGGAAAATTTAAGAAGAATACTAATGAAAGAATTCAGATGAGCAATAGCTTTACTCAAAGGAGTGGGAGAAGAGACCTTGGGTCTAACAAGTGCAGTAAGAAGTAAGAATTATATCAGGATTTCCTTCCTGAATGACTGAAGAAATGGCTAATATTAAAATAGAAGAAAAATTATGTGCAAAAGTCCTCCCCCAATACCAGTCATTAAAAGGACTAAGGGTCTCAAACTAAACCCAAATGTGTTGGCTCGAAGAAATTTGAATAACTCAAGTAACAGGATGCTCTCTCCTAATTTCCAAAGAAATCAGAGATTATGATCACCTATTGCAGAAGAAAATAAAAGAAGAATTGGGAACTTTAGGTTCAATAAAAGAGTACTTCAAAACCCCCTCTTAAGCCTGAGAAGCAAATTGAAATATTTCTCTCCTCTTGAAAGGAGAATCGTTCAGATTGCCTGTATCAACTCCTCATCTCTTTGAACTAAGATAATTAAGAAAAAGCTCGATAAGAGGAATAAACCTACTGTAATTGAAGACTTTACTCATCAAGGTAAAAATGGCAACGATTTTTATATAACATGGGGAAGTGAAGACACCTTATCCTTCATTATTTATCTTTAAAATCACAGAGAGATCTCTATATCATACAGAATCCTGAAACCTAGTGTATAAAAATACTTTCACTATTAAGTTTCGGCCAGTCCTTAAACTAGCTTTTAGAAAGTTTTGAGAAAAATTAGGAGATCTTGCACAAACTGGCAAATTTTGTATTATTAACTTTTACTACAGATGTTGCAGAAACAATAAACAAGTTTGAAGATTTGAGCTTCAAAGTAAAAGATGCTAAAGCAGCTTCAGGAGCATGCAAATCCTCATTTGTACTTTCCAAAAAGTTAGAGACAATGAAACAGAAGAAGGAGAGGTAAGGAATTCTAAAGTCTTTAAAATATTCAAACCCTTTATAGAGCTCCTTCAGCAAATCAAAAGTTGCAAATTCCAAATATAGAGAATGACAAGGGATTTCGCAAGTTTAGCACCTAGCCTAACTCGAGAGATAACTCAGTTTAATTGCTCTATTTAATAATCTTGACTATTTTTTTTCTTGTCATATTATTAGCCTATCTTTTCAGATCTGATTAATGAATTCATTAGCCCAAAAGTCTCTTCAAAATAGCTAGTTTAAATTTCTTTGGATTGAGAGTCTTATTTCAACTCCAATAATCATGGATATCACTTGAAAATAAAATCCGTTCTAATGTTAAAAAGCGGTTTAAATTTTATTTAAATATAAAAAAGGCCCTTCAAAATAGATTATTGGCTTTAAAATATTAAAAATCCCAATATTAATCCCAACACAATTCACCTCACCCCTAATCCCATATCTAACCTACCACTTCCCCTCAAACGCCCCCCAAATTCCTTCCAAAACTCCTCAAAACCACTTCCCTCCATAAACCCCCAACCCCACCCACCCTCTTCCTAAATCCCACTACCAACCCCACTTTTCAATCCCCGTACAAATCTCAACGTAAAAATCCCCTTAACTCCTTCTAGGCTAAATTTCATATTTTTCAATTAAGTATTTTTAAGAGGGGTTTTGGGGTTTTGGGGTTTTGGGGG